CATTAAGCTAACGTTTACAACGCGTTTTTGCAAGGATCGTGTAGTCAATGTTTAACAATGAGGTCGGTCTCTAGTTTTCTACTAAACGCTTGTCTCCCATGTTATGCAGTAATATAATAACAGCTTGATTCTGGCTTTCAGACAAATCTTTTTTTGTTGAAAATCCTGTATTAAAACTGTCAATCAGCATATACTTCAAGTAATCCCAGAACAATTATAACAAATTGCATTAAGACCATCACTGCCTGAAGACTTTTTATTTCTCATTGAATCTAACGCATCCAAACATTCTTGCTCTGTGATCGGTCACATAAACAAAGCCTCCAATTCCGTATAATATTGAGTTATTTCTCTATAAAGAATATTTCGTTTCCAGTGAATATTTTTACTTTTTTTGTTGTAATACAATCCGATTCCTTTCCTTTTCCTTTTTGTTTTCTAAATTAAGAAAGTACTTGTTTTACTTTTGAACCAGTTCCACCCATCGTTCTCGAGATCTAATAAATGCACCTTTACATAAATTTGTGTGCCGTTTTCAATCTCTTTCTTTATTTCTACCATTCTGTCGTTATCTTCTCTATTATCAACTTTTCTGCATACTTCTGTATATTCATTATTCATATTCGTGTACAATTTTGTTTTCCTTCCGCCTCTGTTTATAAAACTTCATGGCAGATTCTCGTTTATTTAAACACAAACATATCCCATTTTGTTATTGCATTTATTCGATTATGGTTAGACGCTACAGCTTGTTTGATTTTTTTAAAATGTTGTTCTTATATTCAATGTCACATATCAATGAGTTAATAAACTTCCGAAGACCTTCCCCATTTCAACATTATCTGTTTTCAATCATAATGATAGAGCACATAGATTACATTTGGTGGCAGGTCTAATATCGGTAGTGTGAACATTACAATACAGTGACGATGAAATAAGCCAATACTTGAGTGTAGAATAGATTCCTAACGATAATTGTCACAATATAAATTGCTTTCCTTGCGGGTTCATTTTCCGCCATACGTCAATCAGTTTGAATTTATTTTGGATGTTTATAACCACTTAATTGGTTTGTATACCTGTGACCAGCCTCGGGTATCAAACTGAGGATCTTTAACACAGTTCCAATCACCTCCAAATATAAGTAAATCGTCTTTGTGCTCAATTAATTTTATCTAGTTGAACATCTTTGTGTAAAACAACTCTTTTTCCTTTTTTACAGTCAAAGCTTATACATTTAGCACACACCATATATTCTTTCTGTATCTAAATCTAACAGCAACAGCTCTTCTATCAAATTTTACAAAACATTAAAGTATTTCTATATAATTGTTATCCTGATTATAATTGAAAAGCCTTTAGAGTGTTTAGTTCCATGGCTGAATAGAGAAGATAATAACGCAAATCTTTTATCAAAAATATTGTTTAAAGGAAATATTTTAATTGTTGACAGTACGATTGGTCCGTCCAAACGAGCACTACTTTTTGAATGGTTATCTTATCAATTTAAACCATATTCTGGCTTTTTATATGAATGTTTTTTTCTTAATATCTGCGGAATGTTTTGTATTTAGCTGTTGTTACAAAGAAGTTTAACCTGTTCCCGTAACTTCTAGATTTTCCCCTTTACATACAACAACATTTTCAAAATGCGTGCTTTCTATAGTCTTATACCATTTTTAGCTACTCTGTGTCTTATTATCATAATAATATTATTAACTTACCTGTTATTGAAGTAAGGAATGCAATGCAAAGATATATTGCGATACAGATACAAAACGTCATTCTTATTGAAGAAAAGTCACTCGTTTCTGATGTCCTCTGTCCTTTCCTGGCCTTTGCTAGCGGTTATTTAATTGTTCATTTCTTCATTACTACTTGTATTATGTTGAGGAATTTGCTAAACATCTTCAAGCCCGAAGTTTTTACTTCGTGGAAATAAACAGTACAACTGGAAATATATATTAGTTTTGTTCATTTCATCCCGAAAATGAAATAGACGATGTAGATATAAAATAGTGTGGTTAATTAACAAGATTTATAAATACGCGATTCAGACATAGAGGGAGTTTCCTGGATTGAGTAGGTAAGATGTACACACTTTGTATACATGTTATTTTACTCATCATTTAAATTGATGGGTTAACATTTAAAACGCTTAGAAAAGTAAAATATTTCACAAGGAAACCTTTATTGGCCATATGTTTACACATAATTTGCATGTAAGAATAACATGAGGACTTTCGGGTAATTTGTAGAAGGTCATAAACACTCTCTACCTCTTGTAAATTCCATAAAATGCTATTAATTTTGCCTATATATTATAAAGTCAAAGGCTATTGGGAAGACTAGGGTTTCTTCAATTTCGAACCCCGCGGCTTGCCAGAAGTAATTTTTTTTGCTCATTTGCTTTAACATGTCCATAATACTGTCGTGCCTGTGATACACCGATAGAGAATAAGATGATTAGCAAAACGACGCTTAGATACAAATTTCCCATCACGGAGTCAGGCCCCGTTCTTTGCCCCTTCTTTATGTAATGAATGATTTCCCATGATGCTTGTAATTTAGTCATTTCATTCTAAATCACAATGTATAGCTGCTTTTCAATTTTAAATACATATTAGGATTTGCTTAGATACACTACGTTATATGAAAACAATTAATCATCATGGGGATTTTAGTGAGACATGACTTTTCCGACTGGGATAACAACTTCAGATTTATTTATCCATTGTTTTTCTCATTCACCACAAAGATGTTTTTACATACAAATCTTTATCATTATTTTTTTTTGCTTCTTGCAAGGTCTCTGACCTATTTGAAAAAATGATTTCATGATTGAATTGATGATAATCAATTTCGTTGATTATGTAATTTAAGCTCGAGAGTTTTAATGAATTGTCAATAATTTGCTGGATTCAATTTCACAATGACGTATGACGTACCGCGCAATATCTATCACATTTTTTGGAATGGAATGTGAGGATTCACATGCGGATTACGTTCATCATTAATTGGCTCTGTTTCTATACACATATATATATATATATATAGTAACTATTTTTATATTTATATATAAAGTATGTGGTATATTTTACGTCCTTAAGGTCACGTTCATAATAACATTAGTATTTAAAAATAAAACCAATTGAGAAGTACCTATTTGTTTCGTGACACGCTTGTATATGAAACTACCCCCTCTACATATGTAGTAATATGTATGTATAACGATATCAAATGGTGTAGAGGTATTTCCTGGACCTCTAGAAAGAACAGAGCCTTTATGTGAATGGCTCTAATAAGATATATTAATCCTTTTTATGAATGATTCTTGTATTTGTTAATTTCATGTATGATGCTTAATACAACCCCAACAAACAAGAAAAACAAACATTAACCTAAACAAACCTAGGATTTGTACTTAATACCTAGAATGAGTATTTCTAGTTGGTCATTACTTGTAATCAGTCGTTCCGAAATGACTTTGCCTTAAATGCTGAACCTCAACTTTATCTTTTAGTCTAGTGTTCTTTATCTCTCTAGCTTTTGTGTATACAATTGTACATGTCAGGCCTCCTACCCTCTCACTCTGTCGTCGTCCGTTCATTCTGTCATTGAAACTTCATCTATAAATAGCCCTACTCCCTCCATGTTAATGTCTTTATTTCCTAGAAATTATTCATAAATATTTTACACTTTTTCTGTCACATATTATTCTTTCTAGTTTGCACTCTTAAACTCTCAGTTCGTACTTGAATTATTCAAACTTTTACAATTATCCCTATCTCGTGGGTCTAGTTGCCAATCACACACTTTATATATGCTTGTATATAATCTGTTTATTTTGAATTTATTTACACTTGTGTTCAATGTATTATCCCATATATTTTGCCATCAAATAGCACTTTCTTCATCCATCTGGTTTTGTTAGAGTAACAAGTAACTATAAACTGTTAAAACCTCACCATTGTTTTATCTGTGCAGCTTTTATTGAAATACATAACAAGGAGTATATTTCCCACATGTCTGTCATGCAGTGCACTCAGTGCAATGCAAAGATAAAACGATTGCTTTAAACAAAATTGATTCATCGATGAATCAGAAAATATTTCGGGAATAGACCATTAATGAACAGAAATACAGACAGACTATACAAATTATAATAATAACTATTCTCTATTAATTAGTGTCCACTAGACGGATATCCTCATGTGATGAAGTAAAGTTGAAATACTCCAAAAGCAATATTAATTGTTGTATACAAGTATGCAACAATGGTGTGATTAGTTAAGGATTCAATATGCTCAGATACAAATGCAATTAAATGTATAAACAACCTTGAGGTCTCCCAGGATTTACAATGCAAGACTTGTTAAACATTCATATTATTTTTATTCGTCTAAAGTCAATTATTAATGTTATATTACAAATTATCTCATTCAGAGTGAAATAGTGCAATGGTGTAGTTATATTGATTTACATACATGTACATATGAGCTTATATGAGAATTATAATATCTGCCATTATAGTTATAATTATTAACTTGACATATAAATGTTACAAAGCCCTCAATATTTGAATCTAATCTCAAACTATCAAGCCCTACTGTTATGCATGAAAATATGTTTAAATTTAATTTGATTCTACATCTTAAAGCTACAGGTTACAACTACATGTACATATAATGTGTATACAAATGAATCGAAAGAGGCCATTGTTACTGCAAGTTAACATGTATCATTCAATGTTTAATAAATTGCGATTGTGCAACACATGGCCAAGATACTACATTATTGAAACAACACACTCTATACATACATGTAATAATTAACAGCGAATTGTTTTTAAAGTGTTAATCATAGAAATATAGTGTTCGTCATCTTTTTACAGTGTTGCTTTCAATGTGATCCTGCAGGCGGTTAGACTTACAGGCCAGAGTAGGAGATTAAATCTACTTTGAGAGCAAGTAGTTGTAATAAACTTGAATGCAATTCGTGCCATACACATTAAATATAGCATATAATCGATACACAATGCATTCTAAACCTAAGCAGGTTGTGATATTTTACATGCATTTGCTACATTTATTTAGTAGTTGCTTTAAGATGAAATATTTTACAGATATCCTTCGACAATTATTGAAATATGAATTTTCATTTAAACATCATCATTATAATACATTTATCATACATGTTAAGCTTACGAAAGTCCGATTTTCAAATTCATGTAAATGTGACAGATTTTAACCCAAATTGAAATCATAGTAACAAAAGCGGTGCAAGAAATCCTAATAACATACGATAGTAGGTATAATTCCATATTTACAGCATATTCTTTTGAATCAGTTAATATTTATTGTTCGTTATAAACCAGCAAATATAGATATATTTAGATGTTTAAGTGATAAGTATACATACAAGATAAACATGGACATTTACGTAAAACTGTTTTAATACAAACGAATCACTTGTGCAACGTTTGCAAAAGATCATGGTGTTATGCTAGGGGTCCACCTTTTAATAATAATAATAATAATACATATGATTTATAAGGCGCCAAACATTATATCTACCTGCATTAGCAGTATGTTCTAAAATCGAATGTAGAATAGCTTACAATATGTTGATGGAACCGAATAAAAGACGATCTATACCTTTCGAGTAAATTATGATTATATATTTAAAAAAATATATCAATCTAAATACATAACATGCGGCATTCTCTTAATATTAACTTAATATTACTACTGAAATATGGAGTGTAATTTACACATTCACTCATTTACTCTACTTTAGAGGTGTGATAAATTCGATACAATCACGACAATAGTATTTTATAGAAAATTACATGAATCATAAACTATAAATAAGCCTACTCGTACAGTTTTGGGCATCACATATTTTCTAATTCTAGTTTTTCTTTATGTTCTTGATATTTTTACATGTGAAATTATTTCAGAATATATGTTTCCTTTTACACAATGAAAACAAAAACTCATATGTATGCAAACCTTCACCGACTTTGATCCACGAAAACTTTTGACGGTGTAAGCTTCCCTTTTTTCTGAGTAAGGACTCTGTAATGTTAGTTAAGTGGAATCGTTGTACCATTTCTGATGAGGCTATCTTCATGTGTTAGCACATTCAACTTTTGATTTACCCAGTGCGCCACTCTTCTGTATCGTTAATGAATCATGTTAAGGAGACGACATAGGCGGTATGGGATACATGTTCATATATGTAGTGGTTGTTTTAGCATTAGCTTCTTGTGCTGTGGGAAGGATATTGATATATTGAGGATCTATATACACATTTACCGCCCCATCACACTTTCAAATAGGACTAACACAATCTTGATTGTCTGGGTCGTTTTGCAGCGCACTTTCATCGGTCATGTCCCTATTTACATAGACAGCCTCAGGACACTTTCGAGTAGCACTAGGACTGATGTATTCGTCATTGTCGGCGGGAGAAATCGGCTTCATGTCCATGTAGTTGCTTGTAGGTGTGTCATTGTTGGTGCGAGGAACAGGCTTCAAGTCCATGTAGTAACTTGTAGTTGTGTCAGTGTTGGTGCGAGGAATATGCTTCAAGTCCATGTAGTCGCTTGTAGTTGTGTCAGTGTTGGTGCGAGGAATAGGCTTCAAGTCCATGTAGTAGCTTGTAGTTGTGTCAGTGTTGGTGCGAGGAATAGGCTTCAAGTCCATGTAGTCGCTTGTAGTTGATTTAGAGGCGTGAGATGGAGGTACTGGTGCTATTTCAGTATATTCACCCAGGTCCACCTACAATAATATTTCCAAGCAAAATACCTAATGTGAATTTCAAAATGTCAAATATTTGATTCTATTATTCATATAAGGCCTATGAATCAATAGTTTGCAATTTTTAATATTTTCCTTAAAACGGTATCTGAGTCTTTCTGTACTGAAATGTGAGTGTAACAGTAGCTTGTAATGCAAAGAGGCAAATCATTTTAACTACCTACAACACAGCGGCGTATATATAAAGGAAAAATGGCGCCAGGGACGTACAACAACATTTTGCCACAACCTTTACAAGGTTTTCTGTTCAAAATACAAACAACATTTCCTCGACCAAGCCTGAGATTGGTAATCAACATTTGAATACCTATACAAATAAGTGTAGGAGCAAAGTGACCAAGCGGTATATTACTTTTTTAAACTTTTTTTTTTTTTTCTTCAAAACGTAAGTTCCCGTGCATTCTAAAATTCAGAGTTGTTCAAAGCAGCTCAGTATAGACTAATTTTCAATTTCGATTACATTTTAATTGAAAACAAACAAAGAAATTACTTTTTAACTTGAAAATTAAATTTATGGGGTTTAATTATGATTAAACTGAGTCATTAAAATGAATCTTGTTAAGAATGCTGAATTTATGGAGATAATTTGTTTCGACATGCCGCAGCTGAACATTAACCGATATGCATAAATTTCGCAATGAAACTAAGATTGAGTAAGTAATGCTATTTAGATTTCACCTTAATACTATTCTGTAATATCATATTAATAAGTAATGCAAAATTATAGACCTACCATTTGACCTTCTGGCTGATTGTGTTTTCCATGGTCTGCTTGGAGTGCACAGAAGAACATTGAATGTAAAGACAAATCGTGTTAATGGGAGCACACATTTTAACATATATAATTCCTTTTAAAAGTTGACTTTCATTAGAAAATTTGACTTATTTTATATTGAAAACTATATCCATGATAACAGATCAATAAATCGATCTGTTTAAATTAAAAACATTGTGAAAATAAAATGATAGAAGTCTGCGGGGAAATATGTTAATTTTTTCTTATCATGTGAATATAAATACAATTTAAAGTATCCTACTTCATATTCCTCTGACTAGCAGTTAACTTCTCCTTTATCCTATTTTGATCTTTATAATTTAAAGTTTTTTATTCGGAACTATAATAATATAAATGATTTTCTTCCCACATTTTATTATACTTCAATTCCTGTCTTAGTATTAACACTGTTATTTTTCATCATGAATGCTACAACTACTACAAGCACAATGTACGGCAGATAATGAGAGAAAGGGGGAGATTATACGGGTTAACATAGTTGGTAAGAGAATGTGAAAGTGTAAGGGTTATTTATGATAAACAGGAGTGCACACTTTATGAGCAGCGGGAAATTGAAATGCAAATACTAGTGAATACCACATATAACGATAAATAAGGAGATAAAGAACATCCGGTAGGTAAATTAATACAAACGAAAGAAACAGCTTAACAAACATTATGTATTTAGACAAAAAAAAAGAAGAAACAAACTCTCAGTGGGGATATGAATAGAAATAGAAATGAATAGAAATCAAGAGTTGGTGAAATAAAAAGGAAATGGAAAAAGAAGTTAAAGACTGAAGCTTCAAGAAAAAAAACTTTTAAAATGGAATGGGGAATGTCTTTTTTATTTGGAGGTGAACGTAGGGGGCCAGCTGCTTTACGACATACCCTTCTTTTGTTTCACACAGCATAACACTCCATAGAAGTACATCAAACCCAGTGAAATCAGCAGGATGAAACCAGCAGCGGCACTCACTCCAATTGCGATTATCATGTAAGGAAGGTTACTTTCAGTTGATGGCCGCTTCTCAACTAATAAGTCTAGGACAAACAATACCATGACTAGAATGTTGTGGCTTAATGGTTTTCTAAACAATTTTGTAGCAGATTGATTCAATGGAAATTTAATTATACATGATTTATGTATGGATGTTTCGTTCACATCTCTATATCCTTGTGTTTCAAATAGCGTTATACGAAGCCACGTAGGAGGATGAGTTGTGTTTGGCAGAGTGAAATATCTAATACTACTAGAAAACCTACACGCATATATTAATCCACACACACACCCCCGGCTAAGCACCAACACCTGCACATATGCATGTTTATTATCCCTAACACATAAATACTGACACGTACCCAAGACATGGGAATTCATCTATACCCATGTGCATGTAATTTGTGAATCTTAAAGCACATGTGAACCCACCCACACATGTTAATCCAATCCACACATACACACATTCACGCACTCATCCACACAACACACACACGCACATAAACAAGTGAAAACGTTCGAACACAAAGGTATTTTCATGTTCATCCACCCACCCACGTACATACATACAGCTTAACGTGAACTCTTTCTGTCTCGTGCTCATTTATCGTTATGTATGTAGATTACATCTAGGTAATGTCGGCTTTACGTTTCAATGTATAGTTATTATAGTAAGTTATAACGTTAAGGAAGCATGTTGTGATAAATATACAGTTGCATTCAATGGGGGACTTCTGCTTTTTTCTTGCCACTTAAAAAATATATTGTATGTTTCGAAACCTCGTTTTCATTGAGATCTTGACAACTTTCGCAACTAATGGGAATTGATGGTTTATGTATAGAGGCCCAAAATAGTCTCATTTTCTTATAAATAATTATACGAGAAATGATAATAGCTTAACCTGTTAATATATCAGCTGGTTTACTGCATAATTCCCTCCCAAAGGTCACCAAAACTGTGTCATCATCCGGGTCAATGTTGACCTCTGTGCCCGGTTCAATGCACTCTGAGCTATTCACAGAGGCACAGTCTGGTCCGCTGTAAGTCCTCTGTGTGATGAAGCACATTTCATCCAGGGTTTGGTTTGCCTCTGATAATGTTAAGATATGTTCTTGTTTGTCCCAGCTGGTCGTTATGCCTATATGACGAAGAAAGCAACAACAAAAAAACAAAAACAAAACATAGGAAAATAATGTTGGTATTACTATTTTTGGGAGAGACAGAGAGTGGGATGTGTTATGTATTTAGTATATCGTTTAATTTGATTGTGAACACACAGTCTTAAGATGAGTAGACATACAAGGTTTAAGCTAAATAAGGGAAAGGTTGTTGTGTTTGCTCTGTTTGAGCATCCCACCTTGTTTCTGCTCGGTCAAACTTTATCAAACCTGTCAGAACTAGCTATTCGTGTTAATAATTGCATGGAAGAGAATATAATTGGGCTATTCTGTTGACTGATTCAAACTGAAAACTGAAATATATCCCTTTCACTGGACTTAAGAAAGACGACTTGTGCAGAAAATATGTTGTAGATCCCCAAAGAACCCCTTTCTACAAAAACACAAACTACATTTGTGCTGATCAGGGTATTTTATCCCTCAAATGGTACGAAAATGATATAACAAATTAATATGCAAGTCAGAAATTCTCGTTATTTAGAAACTTACGAGTTGTTGAAGCTACTATTTGCACTGCGCTACTATTCCCCGCGCTGTTCACTGCCCATAGAGTTATCCGGTACCAAGTGAAAGGCACCAGTCCCACCAATGTGTGGGAGGTCCCGGTCAAGTTTGTGACAACACCACATCCCTCTTCTTGCGTGTCGTTGAGACAGTATTGCAGAGTGAATGTTTGTTCCAACCCGCCATTGAATCGTGGTTCCCAGGCTACGAAGAGAGTTGAAGGTGTCGTCTTGTTTTGGTCGACGAAGAACCAAGATGGTGGATCTGGGATGACTGTATGTAAATATAGAAAAGGGGATGTTAAATGGTTGAAATGAGAATCTATGGTTTTAAAGATTGTCTTTTACTTTAAAAAGTATTCCAGGGTGAAATTTTGTTGCAACCCGCCATCGAATCCAGGTTGCCAGGCAACGAAGAGAGTTGAAGATGACGTCTGGTTTTGGTCGATGAAGAACCGGGAAGGTGGATCTGGGATGACTTTACGTAAACACACACATAATTGGATTTTAAATGTTTGAAATGGTAATCTATGGTTTGAAAGATTGTCTTTTACTTTAATAAGTATTTCAGGATGACATTTTGTTGCAACACGCTATCGAATCCTGGTTGCCAGGCAACGATCGGAGTTGAAGATGTCGTATGGTTTTGGTCGACGAAGAACCGAGAAGGTGGATCTGGGATGACTGTACGTAGACATAGAAAAGGGGATTTTAAATGCTTGAAAAGAGAAGCTAAGGTTTCCAATAAAGACTTGTATGTAAGAATGTCTGTTCCAGAAAAATAAAAAACAACCCATGTGATGCGACTCTAACCATGAACAGAGCTACATTTCGTTTATATACTCACGATCAATATTTACTTTTAGAAAGTATATATGTGGTTTCAGAAATAAAGTAATAATAATCCAAAACTTGGAGGAAAGATAATTAGGTATACGTAGAATAATCTCACGGCGCTTCTCAAACTACCCCTGCTACAACATAAATAACCCAATTCCCGTAAATTGCGCAAGACCATGACGTATATTCACCATAACGTGCGAAAATGAAAGCTGTATAACAATTAAAAACTAGTGGGTGGAGAGTGATTCTAATTATATCACAACCAATCCAACACAAAAGCCTCGTGATGCCTACCGTAATTGGTAATTGGTAAAGCTTTGTCCAGAACGAAGAAGCCAAAAGCAAAATAATAGAAAATAAAAAATCTTAACGACATTTCAAAACTGAATTTGCTCTCAAAAGTAAATGGTGACTATAGATTTTATTTCAAATTAAATACATTGGATATGAGTAAACGATATGGTGTATTCTAATAAAGAATATATCAGCCACCCTGCTTAGTAGTTGGCTTCATGTTAAAAATACATTGGATATCAAAAGAGTGCATAAAATACAGGAACAGAGATCGATTGCGTTTTACACTGATAATTGAACACGATTGAGAGCGGGAAGGGGTACTGGAAAAATATGGATGTGGTGCATTTCCAATAAAACGTTAATTCAAGTGAGGAATATAAATACACGTGACAGGTATTTACGAGCTGTTGATGCCACTACCTCCACCTGACTACTGCTTCCCGCGCTTTTCACCTCCCATACAGTCATCCTATACCACGTGAATGGGTAAAATCCGACCAATGTGTAGGATGTTCCTGTGATGTTTGTGACAAAACCACACCCCTCTGTCTCTGCTTGCGCATCCTTTGGACAATATTTCAGACTGGACGTTCGTTGCAACCCGCCATCGAATCCTGGTAGCCAAGCATCGAAGAATGTTGAAGATGTCGTCTGGTCGACAAAGAAGGTATACATCTGGGATGACTGTAGAGTGACGTAGAAAAAAGGATTTTAAATTGTTGACATGGGAAGCTTTTGTTTTAAAGATTGTTTTCTTTAACAAAAAAATTCATTCTGTAAGAAATGAATGTCGTTCTGATGCAGTTACATGTTTCAATACTTTTTTTCAATACTGATTTTGTTTTTGTATACTCACTGGTATAGCTTAACGACGCGGTATTGTTACCGATATCTGTTGTACCCTGACATTTATATTTTCCAGAATCGCTTGGCTGAACTTTATCTATGACTAGTGTAGTTGTGGAGATTGTTCTCATCCAGACCCTGCCAGCGACAATAAGATGTCTTGTAGTGTTGGTTAGGATCGTCCCGTTACGGTACCAGTAGAAGTTACGAGCCGGCGGATTGGCATCGGATGTACATATGAATTGAACACTGAGGAATTGCTCATGGTTATAGATACGTAGAACAGAAATGGTAATGTTGCTAGGCGAGTCTGTTTTATAAATAAAGAGTGAGATAGAGGCAGATTGGGACAGTTTCATGAACAATAATATGACCCACAAATTTCGAAATAGCGGCGGTATTATTTGCAACGCAACACAATATAGAAATCCAATTTATCAAAAAATACATGCTAAATTCAATCTGTATGATTTTGTATAATTTTACAAAACTAGATATCATAACACGAAATAAGAAAATATTCTGTTTAATGTAATTGGCTTGCATGATTATGCAATAAAAATTCCCCTACTGCCACTCCCCACCGCATGGTGAAAGGAAAATAGACTTACATGCGATGTTAAGAACATCTGTTTTATTCTTGGTCCATGAGTATGGCGGTGCAGAGTGTAGTATTTCACAGACCAACAACTGTCCATGGTTGTAGCGAGTTGGTACGAATGTAAGATTACTTAGTGTGAATACACGTTGTTCGTAGGTCAACTCAGTCTGAACTGACGAGTACTGTGTAACATTTTCAGACCCGAGGTACCAATGGACCAACGATGTCGGATATCCGTTGTTTGATGTGCAGGTTAGCGTGCTCTGACTCCCAGATTTTAAATTGTTGATGCCGCGAACTCTAGGGGTATCCGGAGGTCCTTGAGATACAGCAACAAAATGAAGAAAAACAAAATGGTAAAACTAGTAAGGCAAGAGACATGACAGATGTCAATCGGGGGTATCGACCCCAAAGTTCTAGAAAAACGATTCAATTAACATTTTCAGATATATGTATATATTCAATGATCAATGTACTTCAATAAATCCTTCATTTAGACCCCGGAATTTAAGAAGCTAAACATAACCCACAATACACCAAACATAATACATATTAACAGACAGATAAAAAAACAATCCAAAATATTATTTAAAATTGTACTCATACAAAATTACAACGTTTGATATGTTTTTATTCAAAGTAAACATGTTTAGATTGTTAAAATGTTCGGATAATCGATTGAATTAATGTCTCACAAATCTAAATGTCGTATGCAAATAAGAACAGTGAAATGGGTTTACCAAAGTAGATTTGTCCAAAGTTAAACCGAGGATTCTAGTTTCGACGTAAGCACCTTTACGGTAATTTTGAAGTAGGTTAAGATTTGTCACATTTGTATACCAACCATTTACAATGAACATTATTTCTGCCTCGGCTGTGTGATCCCTGGCTGTTGATGAACAACGAAGAAATTTGTAGTGGTCTGTCCTATCGGGACGTAATTCCAGAACACTCTCTGAATCAAATAACGTGTCGTCATTGATGTTTGAACTTCCTGAGAACGTTTTGTGAGGGAGTCTCCGGGTGCCAATTGTCCAGCTTATAGAGGACACAGGACGGGACCCCAAACTTCTGCAGATGATAGTCACAAGTGTGTGTTCAAAGATAGTAAGACGTGCAGTTCCAGTCTCATTCTTAATCCTGTGTCCTACCGCGTGAATCTGCAGATTGGCTGGCGGCACTGTTTCATTACGAAAATGTAGATGAAAAAAGCAGTTAAGGATCGATTTGTTTCATGATTTTACTTGTGATTCATATGACGTTTACTTCGGACTATACTATGTGACGTATAGTTTAATAAAAAACAACAAAAACATCATCAACTATTTGTAATGCTTTACATGTATATTGTGACGTTAGCCGATTATCTACATTATACCGAGCATAAACATCTTCGTTGACTGAGAGATCAGTTTTGATCAAAGGTCGCTCGTAATGTAGTGAACGAACAACATGTTTCATCAATTTGAAATCCCATTGAGACCCCTTTCGCAGTGTAAACTATATGTATATACATAAATACATGCACATATTACTTTCCCATTGTCACTGCTATTCATGTTTTTATCTCCTTAAACTTACCTTGGACATCTAGACGAGTGGTAGTGTGAAGGCCAGCATTGTGGTCAGGCACCGAACAAGTCAACACCTGACCATGGTCGTCTTTGGTTGGTATTACAGTGACTACTCGCCGGGAAACATAACTATCACCTTGCACATTATTTGACTGATTCCTTATCAAGACATGCACATCTGAAGAAATTTGCCATTCCAGTAGTACCGGAGGTCGTGCGCCAAGAGCTATGCACAAGATGTTATATGGCATATCTGCTGTCATGGTTATGGTTGGGCTGCTAGTGTATTCGTCTTGAGAGATTTCATCACTGATGAATATCACATTTGGTGGGGCTATATATGACAAGATAAAGGAGTCAAGCAATTTAAGATGTAAATTATATGAGCCTATTTGAGGGGAAAAGTGTAAAGCTTAATCTGATAATTGTTTGTGACATAGAGGCATCATTCTATTTTGAAAAATAAAAATCCCGAATTTCATAGTATGTGCCTGATGAGAGCGCTCATTGACCCCTCATGGTTCATAACTGCAGAAACATTCTTTTTGCTAATCTACAAGTGAATTTTTAAAGACATATCTTCGAAAATATTTAGTTACTATTGTTATGTGTGCACTTTGTATGGGCTTATTTCGTTCTATCGCGGCTTCGCGTCGGAACGGGTTGCCGGGTTACACGATCTCTCGTGCATATATACCAACATACACGGAAGGTAGAGTAACTCGAATGCAAATAAGATACGTATTTTTAAAGAAGGTCCTTGTGATAATGCCAATATTTTCACTTGTATATTATTATCAGAATATATAATTAATATGAGTGGCAAATTCCTGATTTGTTGCCAAATAAATATAGATTTCAACAGTAACGTCATAAGTAAAGACGTCCATCGCTGGCCTTATTGCTGGCCCTATTAAACGGCGTCGGGTGGAGACTCAAGTTTCCTGTAGATTTGCTGTATGTTGTGCTTGTAGAAAGTTTTGGCTAGACGGGACTCAACACTTTGGTGACAGGAGTGATGTATTGCACAAACGTTACACCGATCCTTCAGGAATTAGGGCTTCATTATTCACTAAAGTTGGTGTAACCAGAAGACGCGAAGATCCGATGGAACGAATTAAGCCCTTAATATTCTAGCTTTTCCTTAATCATTGGAAGACTTTTAAAATGGTATGTTAACAGCAAAAGTTTGAGGAAGAGTTCTTACTACTCGACAAGACGTCTAGCTCCACTGCAGCTTCATCCAAACCTGCGAGGCCAATGACTTTGCACTCATATATTCCACTATCATCCATTGTCAAGTCTTTGATTGTCAGATTGAAACTTCGAGAATCTGTCGTCAGTATGAACTTAGAGGAATTTGAATTACTTGGCTCACAATCCGACATAATGTCAAAGCAGTCAAGAGAGACCAGAGTTTCGAAATCGTCTGTTTTCCATTTCAAAAGGAAGCTGCTGGAAAGGAACGAATAGAGGCAGGACAGTTGAATGTTCTCCCCAGTGACGAGGAGGTCCTTAGCAGCGATTGACGCTTGTAATTCCCCGCGGCACTCTGCAAGTAAAAAATAATGTTATCATTATTGTTGCATTTTCATAAAGACCAAACAAATAGGGGAAAAGTGACGTGCCATGTTTGCAGTGCATCAAACCCAAAACCAACGTTGATTTGATTGGCAATACCTTTAACAGCATTTAATCATCCTTGAATTAAACTTTAATAGGTAATTTTATAGTAGTAGTATTCCCAAATTTCTGTGCGAATTTCACAAATGTATAAGTTCATAATGCAGATTTATCGTCGTTTTTCTAAAATGTACCATTTTTTTTAATTTTTAGAAAGTGTGCAAAATAAGCGTTAACTTTTTGCTTCTCCATTTTCCATTGAAGTCATTCTAAATCACACTTTCTTGGTAAAATCGCATTTGACCCATTGTAGATTGAAAATGTCATGTACATGTATTCAACACATATTTTAAGAACAAGAAGCAAAATAATTCATTTCTAAACACTAAATAAATAAGTATAATAACAATTAATTCGAAAATACATGTAGTTACTTCCTCTGTTTAATTGTATTTCAATAATTATGAGGAATAATATACAGCAGGAAATACGAAGCCTCTTTTCAAAAGATATTTATGATATCTTTTCTCAAAAGATCTAGTAACATTGCATAACTTGCCCTTCATGTTTCTCCACACAAAAGAGAAATTAAGGGCACTAAGTTACCTGAATATGTGTGTGAATGATATTGACCCCTGTTGTATCAAGAATTGAGGTTCATTTGAGAGCTTGCCACGAAATGTTCAAGCGCCTGGTATACGCTTGTTGTGCGCTGGTGAACTATTCAACGCGTACTTGGCCTGAAATACATGAACAAAGACAGTGCGAGTTTGCAGGAAAATTATATCATTATGGATGATAATAGTGAATAATAAATCTGGATTGATATAGCGCTCAATACAAAAAACGTCTATTAGCGCTTTTTAGAGATACTATTATAGAATATTAGAATGTCATTGTTCACACTCCTTAATTGATAGCATTAGCTCATAGATCGTACATTAAATCGCATTACATACCGTTAAAACACACGAGGATGGCAAGCAAAATTCCTCTCTGAATATGAAAACCCATTCTTTGTGTAAATCTCGTGAAATAATTTTAACGTCTTTACTTAGAAGGTAAATATGAATAATCGATGCGCGGTCACAATTGGCGCCAGTACGTTACTTCTTCTGCCTCCTGAGAGTGAAAGAAATGTTTCTAGTAATTGCATTTATCTGTAATTGGTACTTATAGTTCAACTCGTGATAAAAGAATAATGAGGTCGATTGATTTTAATGTCTTTTGTACGGGAATCGAAACTATCTCTATGCCGCCAATTAATAAACGGGTTATTCCTTGTTCCCGCCGTAACGTTAGACGGCGCTAGTACTTGTAAATTTAGTTGTCACTTTTAAGTTATACCTTCAATCTTGCTTGCAGTTTTATTGCCGCTTTTATAGAAAAATATAGATACGTTTGAAGAAGCCCACCATCTAATCCTGGTTGCCAAGCAACGAAGAGAGTAAAATATGTCGTCTGATTTAGGTTTACATTGAGCCGAGTAGGAGTATTCAGGATGGCTGTAATATTTCAGCAAAATATGGTACAGGTACGGACTCGGTTACTCGCTCTCTATCATTGTATTGTTACAAACCTATAAAAAGAACAGAATCAATTCATGTCCACAAGAATCGTCAAGAACCGGCCCGTAGTTTATCCATATCGGCATGGAAATATGTTGTAAATATTGAATGTCCTGAAGCCAAGTTGTAGGAAATAAAACCTCCCCCATATCACGTACTAGAATGCTACCTATTCTGTAAGGCTTTTGGGCTACTCACTTGAGATGGAAAAGTAGATAGCAGCACTGCCATTACCCAGTGGTGTCTTGACCAGGCATTCATATTTTCCTTCATTGATCACCTTTGGATTACTGAGCATCAGCGTACTTGTTGTAACTGTTTCAGTTTCTTGGAATTCCCATTGGTAGACCGCTATTTTGGTGTCATTTTCCAGCCTTGATCCATTGAAGAACCACTCAAAGATACGGGCTCGGGGTCTAGCATCTATCTGACATGTAAACATGGCATACATTCTCCCATCACTAGCCAAACTTCGACGAACCGACAAGTCGACAATGACGGGAGGATCTCAATATTGAAGAAATACAATGTAGTGAGACAAAGTCGGTGTGGCTAAAGGCCTGGGGTCGAAGCTAAAGAAAATATAATGCTATGAAAAAGTGTGTGAGTAAATACAACATAGTTTACTTGGATGAAAAACTATAAGTAAAAGAGGTTGCCCACTCTAATTCTTCGTACTTTGATATGTATGATTTGTATGACATTAATGATTAAGAATACCTCACTTACATGAAATCCCGATCGTTTTCCTTACGCTCCTCGACCACGCAGGCTGAGCTTCAGGCTGAAAGACCTCACAGACAAGGTATTGGCCGTGGTTGCTCTCCTTTGGAGTGAACATGAGCACACTCCTTGCAGACATCCTATTATATCCATTCGGTTCTTTTTCTGTTGCTGACTTATTGGTCAGATCGGTCGTTCCTAGGTTCCACTGAAATACCGGCGCTGGATATCCATTGTTGTAAATGCATGTGACTGCTGGACGAAACGTCGTAAGATAAACTAAATTTGCATTTTATTTTCATTAACATTTTATCTAAACTATGAGTTAGTATATTTTGCCCTCTCATTGTACAAGTGGACAAACAGGAACTCCTTCGTAGATACTACCATTTCATTTAATTATCATGTGAAAACGAATTGCCGTGAGTGGTATACGATGGTGTTCTGCAAGAGATTACCACAATTCAGGCGTCGGCACGAAGAACAAAATATTCTGAAAGCGATACAGTTTAGTTTAGTTGTATAGTGCATATTTGTCCAGGATAGAATATTATTAATAAGGAAAGATATAATATTATTCATTAACTCACCATAAACTACTAATCTCACTTCTGCATGAACTTGGTTTTGCCCTGCAGGTGCCAAACACCGCACCAGTTTGTAATGATGACTAACATTTGGTACCATCCGCAACCTACTCTCTGCATCAAATAAACTACTGTCCATTCTATTTGGGGTAGCGGAAGTGGTGATGCCGTCCGTGACCACTGGATCTCCCAGTTCCCAGAAGAGTATGGCAACTGGACGAGACCCCAGACACTTGCAGGTGATGAAGGCTGGAATGTCTTGAAAGACGACTAAAGTTTCGGTTCCCGTTAGGTTGGTTATGTTGGAGGAAGCTGACAGCTGTAATTCTGTAGGAAGGACTTGAATTAAGAAATGAAAGATGATGGTAATCTATGTAAATTAGAAAGTTCATGAAAGAAGTACGAAGATGGGGCAATAAAAAAAACCCTGTATAGTTGCAGAATTGTATCAAATGCTGTGTTCATGCTTATTCATTGATGTTTCATTTAATGTCTGAGCATAAAGCTAATTACAAAAGCCATTGACAAATAGTGGCTATATATATGATTGTTCTTTTTATTACGAATTTTTCTTGTGACATAATTATAATTTTATAATTATCATTATTATAGTATTTAATTTCAGCGGCAAGGATCCACTGACATAAACTACGCAACTCATAAGCAACGTAATCTGCAATAATAAACACTTGTCACTATAAACCATGCCCATGCTCCAGAAATACCACCCTTGGTTGTAGATTTAAAGCTCAAAGAACACTGAAATCAAATTTGTCTTTGTCAGTTATATTCACACAAACAAATTCGACCTCCTGGTTTGGCGTATATTGAGAAATATATTATTTTCTTTATATACATTGAATGCACCTTACATTAATAGTGCATTGCTATTCACGTCGATAGGTTTTAACAAAATAATCTATTTTTTGGGGTAAGGAATACAAGCTCTATAAGGTGTTGTGATTTGGTACTGTAAATTAATGTAAACAGATAGTTTTTGACCTGGCAATCTAAACAACGCTCTTGTCAATTTATGAACGATTTCACAACATTCATCAAATATTTCGGTGCCATTTATAAGGTAATGCAGAGTGAAACATTGCTGCATGTCAGCATCGATTACAGGTTGCCATGCAACGAAGAGGGTAGATGATGTCGTCTGGTTTTGATCGACGATGAACCAATACGGTGAATCTGGACCCCCTATATTTATTTGTGTATGTAAATAGATGGCAAAAAATGATGTATTAATGAAAGGGATAATATATTCTCCTAAGAACCCGAGATGTATCCAATCGATCAATATCTGGTATTATATCGTAATTACGGTTGAACGACAGGTATTCCTGTGATAAATACTTCCCGGTCAATTTACTACACTAAATGCCCCGTAAGTTTAAATCCTAAACGATATACCTTTAAATAAATAACATAAACCTATTCATAACCCTATACCTAGCGTTGCCCCCCCCCCCCCCCCCACACACACACAAAAAAAAACAGCCTTATTACTCTTACGGTGTATCATTTGTGAACTAAATCACAATTTATTGTCAAAACATAGTCGGATACGTTATGGCCTGTCAAACTGTGCCACATTTGATAATTGTGCAACTTTTAATTGTTGTACTTTCGAAAGACCTACCAGAATACGACAAGGTAATAGTTGCGTTGTCGTTCCCGAGCATTGTTTCTGCGAAACATATATAGTTGCCTTCATCTTCTGCCGAAATATCAGAAATAACCAAGCTACTCGACATCATGGTATCTTCTTTTAGAAGGCTGCTGTGAATGTGAAGGTGGGTGCTGTTGTTTAGTTCCGCGCTATTCGAGAACCAGGTTATTGAAGCTAGAGGTCTGCTATCTGATATGCATGTAAGAATTGCATCAACGCTCTGTTGGCCACTGGAAACCCGACGAAAAGCGGATTCCGCAATGACAGGAGAATCTACAATAAAGTATTCCGGAAGAAGAAAATACGTTCACGAAACAATACAAGGAAGGCCTAAGAGGATATTTTTTTCTGATGGTATTATTGATTAGCGTAAGTGAATACAATTTTTAATCGCTACCAATATTTTGTATTAAAGGCTAACATGTTAATAGCACTATGACCGTAACATATAATTGTCTATTTACAGGTCTATCGATCTTTTGGTATTAATCCGACCCCGTATTTTGAAAGCAACATAAATAGTTATTTGTAAAAGGAGAGAGAATCGAACCAGGTGGAGTTTTTAAAACACATAACCTACCTTTGCCCATTCAATATAATCACAGAAAAGAACATATAAGCTCACTGCAAGCTGGTACAAACAATTTAAATGTCTCTTTTAACGATATGACAACGTAATGTACCTGCTTCGTGATAAGATCTACATGATGAATGGGTTAGGTTTAAATAAATCAGACTTACAAAGAACATGAAGAACATCACTGATACTCCAATACTCCATGGGTGCAGCGCTTGCTTGAAAAACCTGGCAGACAATGAGTTTCCCATGATCGTCTACCGTGGGTGTAAAATTGTACAAACTTATGGAATCCAGTCGATGATTTCTTTTCCTCAAAGACTGTGTATAATAATCTTTGGTGACGTTCTTTGATCCAAGGTACCATTGAAAAGCTGGGGCTGGGTAGCCGTTGTTCGATGTGCAAGTCACGTTTGATGACACTCCATCCTGCAAACCTTCCACTCCACTTAGGTAAGGAGGATCCGGTGGTCCTTAAAAATCAAGACATATTTATTATGTCATTTTTTGATAATTTAGGCCCATAAGACTTGCATAATATATACCCCCCTGCCAAAAGCACGTCTTGCCTATATTATAAGCATCCACAAACTTTGATCCCATGTAACTCATATTCTGAAACAAGAAAGGAATCATGTTAATATCTAGATTAATTTGCTTGAGCTATCAGGAAGGTTTGTCGCTAAAGATTTTCCAAACATGTTCACTTCTTTAGGAAAGCATAGTATTAATACCCCGGCACGTCAAAGTCAATGTCAAAGTGTGACGCAGTTTGTCCCAGACCCCATTTGGTCTTCTGTTCTGAATAATAGAAGATTGGGTACGGGATACTCACCATAGACGATAACCCTCACTTCTGTTTGACGTTGGTTCATACCTGCATATGCCATGCATCGGAGAAGATTATTGTGATGCCTCCTTTTTGGAATCAACAGTAGAGTAGACTTGGTGTCGCGTAAACCTTGATCGTCCTCATTCGGGGTAGACGCAGAGGTCGTGATACCTAGGTCGTCGTCCGAACCAACACTCCATGCTATAAGAGCTGTAGGGCGAGATCCTACACTCGTGCAGGTGAAGGATGTTGCCGAGTCCTCAAAGACAATGACACTTCTTGTCCCTGTTACGTTGAAATGTATGGATCCATACGCGGTGAGCCTGATATCACTTGGCGGTACTGAGTGGAAAGAGAAAGAAAGGATCCGAATTTGAATACGGAGTCAGCAACTGGAAATAGAGAAAAGGAGATGACCTATTATAAATTGCGGAAGGTATCAAGGGAGATAGTTTTGTTCTTATTTATAAAACAGATAACAAATGAAAAATCGTTGGTTAGATAATCACCTTGCAGATCTAAGTGGATTGACAAATCAAGCCCAATTTCCAGTTCCCGATGCGAAGTCACACAGCGGAAAATCTTTCCATTATCGTTCCTGGACGGAGTTACAGAAACAACTCTGCGGGAGGTGTAAGCGTCACCATGAATAGCGTTATACTGATCGTCTATTTGAATCTGTACTTCTTCGGGAACATCCCATTCCACTTCTGCAGGTGGTATAGCGTCTTGAACCGAACATGTTAGGTTGAGGGTTCGCCCAGATGTGATGCTCACTGATGCTCTATTCTTGTATCCATCCTCAGACCGATTGTCGGTGATGGATATCAATCTCGGCATGACTGGATTTTTAGGAAAACAAATACATGTTTAGTTATCACTAAACATATTTCTTGTCAACTTGCATGTCGACCAAACTCTAGGACCACTTTGGACATAAACAAAATGAATATACCACAGTTTCAATACTATTTGTAATATACCCTAATTTTGATATTTTTTTGTTGTCGCGAATCGAAAACGATGTACCATTACAGTAATATAATGACAACTGAAGTACTTGTTATCGATGACGATACATCCGGCGTGACTGTTATATTCAAAAAGTCGAATGTTGTATTGATTTTGAATGAGAAATGAATCATTGATATTGTAATTTCACACACATCACAACTATATCAAACTATCCAGATTAATGTTATGATACATTACCTGGTAGCAGTACCTTCAGTACAATTTCACTTGCAGCTGCATCAGAAGATGTGAAAACTAAACACTGATATCTGCCGCTGTCATCCACTGTTAAATTCATGATAGTTAGATTTCCACTGGAAGAATCTGCCCTCAAGATGTACTTGGACATATCTAGAATATTTTTCTCGTTTCTGCATCCCACCCCTCGACATGTATCAGAAGCCAGGAGACTGTCGTTCCCGTATTGCCAGTAGAGTTGGCGATCTTTCGATGGAGAAACGACGATGCAGGCTAATGTTATATCCTCACCAACGACAGGAAGGATTTCTGGGTTCTGAATTCTAGTAGACACGCTCACCTCATATGTCTTAGAAACGATGAAGATGAGGTAAATAAATATTTGAAGCCGTTCATCCATGTTGTTGTTACGTCTCATTTCCTGGTATATACCGATTTTTGGGGTGCGTTGCTTAAACCATCCTGCTACCTAACACAATATCCGGAGAATAAATGAATGCACAATGTGCAGTAACGGTTTTCAATGACTAAATGAGTGGTCAAAAGAAAAGCGGCTGATATGCTTATTCACTTTTCTCTTGCGCTTCGAAAGTGAAAGGAATTCATCTCTCTGAAGAGCATAAGTGCGCTGTCAGTTACAAACAAAAAGTGGGTTTCGGAACTTACTTTAATTGAAACTTTGGCCATTATTAGATTAAATTACATTATGAGTGCACCGATAATAGTTGTTACTTTCAATTTGACTTTCGATAATACCTTTTAGGTATATAACATTTGGTAGATATTTTTAGTAGGGGAATAACAGGGAATTATACTAATTTCTTTACTGCACATGAGAGAAGAGTTTGAGAATATATACATCATTTGTTACTTTTTAAAGGTTCATGAAGACGTCCTTTTCTAAACACGAAGAGGAAATTCTGGTATCAAAGCAAATATTTTCTTTCCAGTAAAAGCAGCAATGGGTTTATTATAGACTCCCATTGCTGGAAGGGGTCTCATATTGCTTTTCTGTAGCTAATGTTTCTTCTACAAAGAGATGTTGCAGTATAAATGCACTCCCAGTGAATAGAAAACCGTCTTGTTATTAGACTTTCAAACTCACGCATCCGCACTCAAAAATAATAGGGGGCGCGTGGATCCCAAATTTCTGCCAAATCCTTAACCGTTTACCTGTAGCATGTCACATGAACTGTTTGGTTATTATTTTGTATTTCTATAGGATGTTTTAACATTCTTCACCTTTACACTTTATATTATATTATGTATCAGGTGATTGCACACTTTTAGAGTAATCATTCTAACAACTATGACATATGGATCAGAAACATGGTCATTGACAAAGGATCTAGAACAGAATCTTGTGACTACTCAACGAGATATGGAGAGAAAGATGTCGCATTTATCTCTGCGAGACAAAATCAACCACAAAGTCATACGCCAGAAAAAAAAAGGTTAAAAACATCATGGAGAAAGTCAGAGAATCAAAGTGGAGATGGGCTGGGTATGTAGCAAGACTTCAGGACAATAGATGGACAAATCGTTTAACAAATCGGCAACCAAGGATGGGAAAAAAAAGAAGAGGAAGGCAGAAGCGAAGATGGAGAGATGGCCTAACATCATACATGGGAACGGCCGCTTGGACTAGGACAGCTAGAGACAGAAGAGAATGGACATGTTATGAGGAGGGCTTTGTCCAACGTCTGGATGAACTATAGCCTGATAGATAGATAGAGTTATCATTGATAGGTAGGTAAATAACTAGTTTTAGATAATCTGTACTTTATGTTAGATTATAGTCATATGTTCAAGTCTTTGGTTCCACCCTTTGAAACTTAAACACATTTGAGCGTAGCCTAACTATGTAATCGTCTAGCTGTGTCTGGAGCAGGGTCTATGACGGTCTATGTCTACATAGTCTAACTGTTCGGAAACCCTGCTATACGCATTGCTATACGCATTACGACCGAGGAGGATGTCTGTCTCCGAAATCACCTATGAATATAACATTTTTTAATACGTATATACGGACGATGAAAGATCGGTTATTTTCATCGATTTGAAGGCATGGCCGCTCCAGCTATATTTCGATTTTTTGTTCATGTGTGTAATTTTTTTAACGAATTCAGTCAAATCCAAATGTGTCATAACCGGATGTTGAATCCAGGTTAGCAATCAACGAAGAGAGATAAAGATGTCGTTTGGTTTTGGTCGACGATCAGCCAAGAAGGTGAATCAGGAATAACTGTATTTTAAGTTTAATTAGTGGTAAAGCGTAAAGGCCGGACCTTCAGTTCAATGACGTGAATCGTGATAAGAGGAAGAAGGTTTCATGGGTATGAGATTAATGTTCTTTATATGGAAGCAAGCATCATTCAATTAAATGAAAACAAGATAATCAGACGGACACACACAAATGAATCTAAATATCCAATGAAACACAGTTTTACTTACGAGAAAAAGTGGAGTTAAATACTGCACTACCGGAACCATATCTTGACACAGCTACGCATTTGTAATCACATTGATCTTCGGACTGGGGGTTTCGAATCGTCACTTCACTGGAAGTCCGCGTTTCACACTCTGGTATAGTCTTGGAGAGTGTTATATGAAGGTAGTCGCTAGACAACTGTGTACCATTACAAAACCATTGGAAGTTAAAAGCAGGAGGATTGGCGTCTGAGGTACATGTCAATACGAACCCAAAACGTATTTTATCTGATGTTAGTCGTCGAGAAGAAACGGACACAACCGGGTCATCTAGATTATATACAAATATTGAAAATCATTTTGTTATTAATCGAAAATGGAAGAAGATATAATATAAGGATGTGGATGGGACTTGGAGGGTGGGGGGGGGGGGGGGTAATATAAACTTATCAATGCAGACATGCAGGAAAAAAGAGAACATTGACATTATAGCGTATAACCTTGTCTGGTAGTTAGCCGTATGCACTTTGTTTTCAGATGAAGAAAAAACACCAGCCCAAAGGGACAAGTGGAGGATTCTAAAAGAACTAAAAGAAGAAAAAAAAAGGAGACGAATCTCTTGAGGAAAGTTGATGAACGCTTAGACATACCAAGATACTACGCAAATTACAAAAAAATGAAATAAAAGTGGATACTCACATGATATGTTTAGAACCATGCTATCATTCACTGACCGCATTGCAGGCGTTGTAGGTTGAACCGCCTGGCAGAGAAGAGGTTTCCCATGATCAAACCTCGTTGGTATGAGGGTAAGGGTGCTGTTAGCATTATACCGACCATCTACATTCGTTGAAGAGTTAAGAGATGAATCGTGTGTCACATTTGTTGATCCGATGTACCAATGGATGAGTGGAGCAGGGTATCCATTAAGAGCTATACAGCTTACATTGGTTTCTATGCCGTCGTGTAGATCGTCTGGTATGGTCATTTGAACATTATCTGGTGGGCCTTGACAAAGAAATTAAATATTTAGTTATGTGTAAAGCCTTTATAAGGGCGAAATGTCCTTTTTTTTTAATATAGAAGCTCTTTTATGTATATACTATTTAGTTATACGGCGATGATAGATCCGAGGGTTATAGTGATACACGTTCGCTTTTTTCCTCCCAGTCCTAGGTGACGCCAAATTATTGATAACAATAATGAGTTTGGGTAGATAGGGCAGATAATGATAAATGAAACAACATCCTCTTTCGAATTCTTAGCTATGAATAGGGCTTTAAATAGATTTAAGGCGTAAACTTTAATATTGTTTATAGAAATTCGAATCCCGATATATTGAAGAAGTAGAACTCACCGTAAACCATCAGTCTGGCTCCCCGTTGATCCCAAAAGCTTCCCAAAGTTGCAAAGCATTGAATGAGTGTTCCGTGTTGGTTTCTCTTTGGATGTATTGTGATGATACTCTCAGTGTCAAACAAACTTCCATCTAAAGCATTGCGATACTTTGAAAGGCTTATGTTACCGGGAGAACTTTGGGTGTCGTCAATTATCAATAATAATTCAACTGCTGGTAATGATCCGACACTTTTACAAGTGATTGAAGTGGATGAATGTTCTTGAACGTTAATGACTGTTGACCCATTTTCGTTTTGCTTATAATCTCCAGTCGATACAAGCAGCATGTTGGTTGGTAGAACTTTATTACAGAAAAAGATAAGATAAATATTGTTGTTATGTTATTAACCTTAATCTTGAAATAATAGTGAAAAAAAGTCGCCAAATCAAAAAAGACGATTTATAAATAGTATTGGATATTACCCTAAAAACTATTATCTGATTCGAGAATTTAATAAACGGTGACACAACAAGAAACAGAGGCTCACTTAACTGACATAAGCACCTCTGTGGTGGAAAATTTTACACTGTCAGGCTGTAAAAGGTGAATAAGAGTTGTATTAGAAATGAATTGTTTACCTTGAACATTCAGGTATACTGAAAGCTGACGGTTAGTCTGTAGTTCTGGATGTGTTGCCACACAGCAGAGATTCTTTCCTTGATCATTCCTAGATGGCGTGATATTAACAACCTTATTGGAGATAAAGCTGTCGGCTCGAACGACATCAGACTGATTTTGGAGAACAGTCACTACATCATCTGGTAAACTCCATTCCAGTACTGCAGGAGGCCTTGCCCCGTATGCTGCACATGTGATATAATACGTCTCTCCAGAAGTTACTGTCATATTGGCGTTGTTAGTGTAATAACCCCCCGATCTCTCATCCGTGATAAGGATCCTATAGGGCGGAACTGGTGACAGGGGAGAAAATAATCACGATGGATAAAGGTCGATTCGCATCGTACTTCTCCACCTTGGTAGTTATGGACTTACTTTTGATAGATTATGTAATCACTCTAAAATTAAGCATTAGAATATCACGTACCATTAATAAAGTTCCTTTCAAAACAATTGTACTACTAACTTTATTGTTATTAAGCTGTTAACGTTGTCGTTGTATGTTACCGAAGTCCCCTTTCCGTACGAAAGAGACTAGCTGAACCTCAATTATCTAAAAACCTTTCATATTGACGGTATCATCAGGATACTTCGTAAAATATATAATTGAATATATATATATATATATATATATATATATATAGGTATGTAGCAAGTTAAACAATCGCCTGTTGAAAATGTGGAAATGTAAGACTTCCATTTGTTTTAATGCTTCCCATAGTGATATTCATTTAATAGAAGACAGGAAAAGACAGATTTGATATAGTTTGTAATAAAAAGTAGACTCATTTTTTATGAATTAGCTTCATTCAATTCTAGATTTTCCTTGTGAAAATTCATTATAAATAACAATTTACCTGGTGGCAATGGAATCACTCGCTTGCTACTTGACCCTGGATTCTCTCCTCCATATGTACTGCTTACTGTGCACCGGTAATTGTTGCTATAATTTT